AGCCGTCTGGGCTAACACTTATCCCTAACGCACAGTGTGCTCGTGTGTTTCTGGTGTTCGATTTGTGCAGCATTGTCCACTCCCCCGTTCGTTTCTCGCTGACTGGTCCACTTCCAGTCCCCCCAGCAGTGTTCTTACCCGGTAACATCGTTCCCCTTATCTTTCCCTCTACTCCATTGAGGGCAATGTCGTGCTTAAGTGTGGGGGGATGCTTTGTATCGGTTGGAATATTTATGATGGTGCTTGGAGCCTAGTCCGTTGTCCGAATCTTACGATTTGAGGGCTCCAAGTACTGCTGTTTGATCATATTGGCACTGTGTTTTGATGGATGAATTGATTGGTTTTCGGATTAATGCATGACAACTTGTTTGCGACTAGGACAACCTATGATGAGGACTGAGATGTGCAGTAGAACGATGTAGGGGTTCAGTTTTTCAACTGTTTGCTTGCCAACTGTGACTTGATCTGACTTGATCTGATTACTTGTTCTTGACAGTCGTTTATGCATCTAGTTCAGGGTATCAGAATGTGAGATAGAGCATATAGGTAGCCATGTGAGATTTGAGCCTGCTCGTTTCTTTCTTGTGCGATAGATCCCTCTTCCATGATGTGTAGCATTCACGTTGTCACTAGCTGAGATGATGGGGGCATAGGATTAGCCCACGCCCAAAACTGACTGTCCTGATGTGTCATATCCCCTAGTCAGCCCCTTTGAGCCGTGTGTTATCCTTTCTTTTGGTCTATAATGAAAAAAAAAATCACCCTTGTTGCATCTTTTAGAAGGTTCCACAGAGTGGTTTTTATATATTCTCTGCTGTTTCTGCTAAAGTCTATGTGAGTGTTGGAGGTAGTGCTTAAAAGTTGGGCAGGTGTTTGAAATTTATGCAGAAGTGGTGGCTCTCTTAAGAAATGAAAAGAAAAATGAAAGAAAAACAAAGAAAAATTGAAAGCAAAAGAGAACCACTGCTAAAAATCTGAATAATGCCCAGTAAGTAGTGTTTCTTAGCAGTCTGGCTTGGAAATGCTGATGTTTATGCCTCCTTCGCTCTTGTGCTCTTAAGATATTGAGTAATGCAGAATAGCAGAAAGAAAATACCGGGTTGTTTGGCTGTGTTTGTGTGTTTGGAAAATGTGGAACCTTTGCTATGAATACTTCCACCACCTAAAAGGCATTTTCCCCATGTCCAAGACCCTAGCCAGTCATTTGAACCTGTGTCTAAGACCTCCTGATTAGTTAGTGGTGACACCCCATATGTGAACTCTAGCATTTAGAGGCTGCCATCATGGTGAAGAGATGATAGGTATTGAGATAAATAGCATGCGCATCTTTCGCATCAAATTGTCCTGACCCCACTGGTCGAGAGTGAGTGATTCATTTTCATTTTCTATATGCTCTTGTACCCCGGTGAGGACCTAGATTGCTCGGTCTCTATTCTGATGTCTTGAGTTGGATGCATGAGTTGACTGTTTTGAGTAAGTGGTTGAAACAAGTCTAGGTTGGCCAGTGAACAGACGGGAGACTCTTCCTTTACTCGATTTGCTGCACTCGAATGTCCTTTGTGGTGGTTGTCCAGGTTGTTATTGAGGTTGTGCATGTATTGATGTTTGAAAACCAGTGCGATTCACGTGTTCTGTGCCTTTATGACTTGTCCCCAATGTTGGTTGATTGAAATATGTAAGCTTACCTGGTGTCTGACTTGGTTTGCTTGGGGACAAGCAAACGGTTAAGGGTGGGGGAGTTTGATAGACCGTCATTTACACATGTTTTTACCCTCATACTTGCACCGTTTGAGGTGTTGATCCTCGTGTTTTAGGCCGATTTCACGCTAGGTTGTGCTTGTTTGTGATATTTCAGGTCCTAGTACGTGAATGAAGGCTTAGGAGCGAGTCTGGGGTCGATTGGGCGAAGAACGGACGAATGGCGAGCTTTTTGGGGAGCTGCACGGGCAGACCATGGGGCTGCACGGCCGTGCAAAGTGCAACTCTGGCCGTGCACCTTGTGTCGAGGCCACGCACGGGCAGGCCCTGAAGATTGCACGGCCGTGCACCTGGCCGTGCAAGAAGCCTGAGGCCGACTAAATGGTACGGCTGCGTTTTGGACTCGCACGGCCAGAATGGTGATGTGCACGGCCGTGCACCCTGGCCGTGCAAGTCGGGAAAGCCTGTTTTAGAGCCTATTCCGAGCCAGAAGGGGGAGAATCGTGTTTTGAGAGCAAAAACAGAGCCCTAGAGAGAGAAAGTGCGAAGAACACACCCTAAAAGCTGTCTTGGAGCTGGATTTCATCGAATCGAGCTTGGAGATCGTCATAGGAGTGGAAATCATCGTCCCGGAGCATATTATCCTCATCGTTATGAGTATGACTAATCCGATTCTTGTTTTCTCTTCTCTCTCTATGGAGTAGAACCCTTCTCTCACTTGGGTATGAAGAACCCTAGTTCCTTGTGTTAGGGATTTGATTGTAATGACTTGGGATGATATTAATGTTTGATTTTAATCGAATGATGCATGTTTATTGAATTGATTTGAGTCTGATCAGCTTGTCTCAATTTCTGCTTCAACCTGAGATAGATAGAATCTGATTAGGTTGTTAGAGCCTCTTTATTCGATAGTAGGAGAGTGGCTATACGAGAGTTAGCCAGTTTACTGCTTTGTACTGGTGTTCTTGACGCCAGTAGTGGAGTTCTGTGTTCATAGCCTCAGCTTTCTATCCCGGCGAAGACTAGTCGTCTGCCGGGTAGTTAGACTGAGAGGGCTTGGTCAGCTTAAGAGATTCCAAGCTACTGTCGGATCTTCCGCAGTCTAATCAACAGTAAATCAACCCAGGGAATTGCAATTGAACCTAACTAAGGGGCTAGGGGGACTCAATCCCGAGTGACTCTTGCCTGCTTTAGAAACCGAACAATTTACTGCTTTCTTGTTGCTTTTACTTTTCACAACAATCACTCGAACTAGTTTGCTAGATAATAGAGAATCACGGAGTAAGCAGTAGATCTAGACCCCGGGTTGATAATATAACTTGCCTGTTACTGCATTCCCGGACTGCGATTACACTTGGTCGCAGTTTGGTGTTGTGTTTTGGCGTGTCAAGCGGCTTCACCGCAAATCCCACTGAACCACTGTCTGATAAATTATCCTTACAACCCAAAAACTCATCAGAAACATCAAAAACTAACTGACTAGTTGAATTATCCAAAACTTCCGAATTATCCAAAGCCACATCAAAATCAAACGAACTAGCTAAACTATCCAAGACTGCCGCAAACGGAACCCTACGACCTCCAACTGCACGTCCAGATTCTTCAAGCTTGGACCCTTGAAGCTCATCCAAAACAAAGACACTGCCTTGCTTACTTCCTTTCCCGACTACCTTCCCCGTCGTCTGATCCTGCACAAGACAACCCGCAGAATTAAAGGTAACCTCACAACCTGCCTCTGCCAATTGTCCGACTGATACCAAGCTAGGTTGAAGCTTAGGGACATAAATAGTATCAGGCAATGTAACACGCCCAGAGGTAGAAGTGCCACACCCCTGTACCGGAACAAGAGAACCATTCGCCACTTGTAGTTGTACGCGAGGAGCAGCATGAATACGATCGAAAGAGGTACGTACAGGAGTCATATGGTTAAATGCAGCCGAATCAAGAAGACAATGAGGAGACTTACCTGAGGCACCACCAGTAGCAAAAGCGGACGTGAGTGCAGAGGGAAGTGCCTCCTGAATAGCCTCCTGAACAAGCCGACGAATCAGGTCGGGAGAGAAAGCAGCCGAGGAAGTAGTAGAGCCAAGAGAGGAGCTCGTAGACGACGACGAAGTAACAGGAGAACCACTCCCTTTGACAGAAAACGCAGTGCCGGATGAAGCAGAGCTGCTGCCAGGAGGAGGGCAAAGCTTCCCACGACGACTCAACGTCGGACATTCGAGCACAATATGACCAGACTTCTTACAATAGTTGCAAAAATTTCGCTTTTTGCAGTGTATCTGTAAGTGACCTGACTCCTGACAATAGTCACAAGTGACATCACCAGACTGAGGCCTAGCGAACTGAGGACGAGAGGAAGATCCGGAACGGCCAACAGCGAAGGCAGTCTCGGTCGCTGTTGAACATTGTCAATCTTAGATTGACTCCTCAGACGCGTTTCTTCGCGTAGTAACTCACCAAGAACGTCCTCCACCTGCGTAACCTGTCGATGAATCAACGAAGCCCGGATAGGATCATATTCGGGGCGAAGCTTTGACAGGAATTGCAAGACGCGGGTACGATTGCGTTGTTGGAGAACTGCTGCCGAGGCATCCCCTGTCACTAGCGAAGCAATCAACAAATCAAACTCAGTCCAAAGATGCAAGCACTCCTGATAGTACCCACGGATGTCACGATCGCCTTGACTCAACCGAGAGAGCTCTATCTCCAGATCAAATTGGCGGGAGACACTAGTCTGCGAATGAGTCTTACAAATATGTTGCCACATCTCGGCAGTAGTGGTAAAACGCCTCAAACTCAAGGCCGTGGCCACATCAACAGTCGAAGCCAGCCAGGTAACAAGCTGCGCATTAGCAGCAACCCAATCAGCAGCCGCTTGCTCCGACGCATTAGCCCCCGGAGCCTTAACCTCGCCCGTTAAAACGCCAAGAAGACGTTTGCCAGCCGCGAAGTTCCGAAACTGAAACTCCCATAATGGAAAATTCTTTCCATCCAACCGAATGGAGACTTGATCAAGCTTCAAAGAATCCATACCTCTAGCGCTGGAACAAAGAAAAACAGCACACTAACCCAGCCAAAGGATTCTCCAGCAGCGTCAAACGGAACACCAAGAACAAAAGATCTCAACAAAGCAGAAGCCAAGGAAACCCAAGCTGCTTCCAACAAAAACTTAACCAACGGTGCCCAAGACCAATCACGCCGCAACCAAACAACAAACAAATCAGGAACGCGCAGGCTCTGATACCATGTCAATTTAATAAGCAAAACATAAACGAACACGAGGATTTAACGTGGTTTCCCTGATGATCAGGACTAGTCCACGGGAGAGGTAGAACTCTCCAATCTAAAAGTCTTATTCGTTAAGTCTTTCTTTGGCTTACAGGATACATATATATGCTTCAGCGAGTCCTAAACCTAACTAGAGACGGTATGTACAATTACAGTTTGGTATACATAGTTTCACAGATCAACAACCTCACCCACGAGGAGTTCAAGAACAACTACCTCGGCCTCAAGCCAGTCAACACGAGAAGGGACACGGTCAACGACGACGTGTCTTCGTCGTCGTCAGCGGTGGAGATCAGCAGCAGCATTCCCAAGGCGGTGGACTAGAGAAAGAAGGAGGCGGTCACCCCCCGTGAAGAACCAAGGGTCGTGCGGCAGCTGCTGGGCCTTCTCCACCGTCGCGGCCGTCGAAGGGATCAACCAAATCGTGACGGGGAACCTGACGGCGTTATCAGAGCAGGAGCTCATCGACTGCAACACGGGTTACAACAACGCGTGTAACGGCGGCCTCATGGACTACGCTTTCGCCTACATCGCATCCACCGGTGGGCTCCACAAGGAGGAGGATTACCCTTACGCCATGGAAGAAGGCACCTGCGAGATGACCAAGGTACGTAATAATAAATTACGTAACGCAATCCTATAGCCACATACTATTTTTTTTAAAAAAGTTTGAGAAGTGAGAATGTGAGCTGACGTGGAACAAGCTGGCAGGCGGCGGATGCTGAGGTGGTGACGATCAGTGGGTACAAGGACGTGCCGGCCAACAACGAGCAGAGCCTGTTGAAGGCGCTGGCCAACCAGCCGCTGAGCATGGTGATTGACGCCTCCGGGAGGGACTTCCAGTTCTACAGCGGGGGTGTGTTCGATGGGCACTGTGGGACGAGCTTGGACCACGGGGTGGCGGCAGTCGGGTACGGGTCGGGCGGGAAGGGGCTGGACCACGTGATCGTGAAGAACTCATGGGGGCCCAAATGGGGGGAGAAGGGCTTCATACGGATGAAGAGGAACACCGGCAAGCCTGAGGGGATGTGTGGGCTTTACAAAATGGCTTCCTACCCTACCAAATCCAAATGATTACCCATGCATTGTTTCCTTCATCAACACTTCCCCATTTCCTAGCTTTTTCACCCTTTTAAAACAATAATAATGATTAACACTGCTGCTTTCCGATCATTTTCATCTCAATTTACTTCAAGATGAGTCACCATGTTATAGGTCAGTGACATGCATGCCTATACGTCGGTGCATGTGGTGGTGTGCTCTCTGAATTATTAAGCGAAGGATTTATTTGGTTTAATGCTGATGCTCTTTTTTATTTCTGCAAAATGAAAGAAAAACACTAAATTTACATCCGATCCATACCAAAAAAAAAACTAATTATATATAGTGCTTTTTTCGGCGCACAAAAAATAAAGTGCATACTGGGGACACGTCTAAAAGTAGTTTTACTTTAAGACATTGAATTTTGGATTATAATTGATAACATGAGTATGATATGATGGTATACTGTAAGATCACAACTAATCAATGCATTAGTATTCTAAGTGCTATTAAACCTTCAATTTTGAACCCTAACTCTAAACGCTAAACTCTAAATTCTTCAGATCAAAGAAAAATTTCAACAATTCATACATTTCTTTATCCATGATTAACATCCTTTTTAAGTGATTCAACTACTCAAAATGATAATTATATTTATAAATAAGGTACGTTATTCTAAGCGCTAAAAAAAAGTGAGCGAATGAAAGACAAAACCATATACATATATAAACTACATCAACCTCAGATCATATATACTAACTATAATCACAGTGCAACGGCCGGGACATCCGATTCTGTCTCCCTTTCCTTCTCATTCTCCTCAAGCGACCTTCTCATCGTCTCCGGCGTGAAAGCATACGTCACCACCGTCCCCAAGAAACAAACGGCGCCAAGCACCACCAGCGCCGCCCTCATCGGCTTCAGCTTACTATCCGGATCACCCTCGTTATACTCCCCGCTGCTCCCCCACGCCCTCTGTATCCCCACCGCTCCCACCACCGCCCCGATCTTCCCCGTCGCCCCGGATATCCCGTGACACGTCGACCTCAGCCTCGCCGGGAACAGCTCCGCGGGGACAATAAACGTGGTCGTGTTGGGCCCGAAGTTGGCAAAGAAAAAAGTCAAGCCGTAGAGGATGATGAAGCCCGCGTGCTTGGGCTTCCTCCAGAAGAAGTACGGGATCCCGAGGCCCAAGTAGAGAAAGCCCATGAGGGTGAAGCCCATGAGCTGGATCTTGCGTCGGCCCACGCGGTCGATGAAGAAGACGGTGAAGTAGTAGCCCGGGATGGTGGCGGAGATGGCGATGAGGGCTTGGAGGCCGGCGACTTTGATGGCCTCCTCGTAGACGTCGGTGGAGTCGTCGAGGGTGAGGTACTGCTGGTAGATCTGGGACTGGAAGAGGTTGCTGGAGTAGAAGGCCACGTCCAGGAGGAACCACGTGGCGGCGCAGGAGAAGAGCTCGACGCCGTGGCGGCGGAGGAAGCGGGTGGAGAGGAGCGCGAAGGTGGAGGAGGAAGGGTATTCTGGGGAATCCATGGTTGTTGGCTGTGGTAATTCGTCATCGTCGTCGAGTGGCTTGTCTTCTTGTATTTGGCTGAGTGGGAGGTCTAGGATTTTCTCCATGTCACGCGCTGCCTGTAACACATTGTTCTCCACCAGTGCCGTGTATCTGTATTGACCGTGATCGAGTCAAAAATCTAAATGAGAGAAAGATAAAAATTTACATTCAGAGAATTTGAAGTGATAAAGATCTAAAGTCTTACCAAGTATTATATTTTTCAAATTTATTATTAAATTAACATATAATTTTACATGATTTTATGAGTTAGGAGGACTATAATTTCTCTTGGACTCAAGGTGGCTCCTCCACTGTGCATGGAGACATGTATTTTTTTGTTCACATTTTTTTCAATGCGTATTAATTAAAATGCCTCACATGAACGTTTAAAGTGGAGTTTTTTTTCTTCTTCTTCAAATTATTATAAAAAGGTAGAGTTTGGTTCGTATTATTTATTGTCACTTCAAGTTGTTTGTTTTATTTTACCACTCTGTGTCTTAGCATGAGCGGATATGGTTACAACACCATATTTGTTGTTATTGTAACAATACTAGTCTCCAACCAATAGGAAGTTAGAGTTGTGATGACTTTTTATTAGATGAGTTGACCTAGTGTAAAATCAAAGCAGGAGTATAATTGTCATTATGAAAAATATGTTTAAATAATAATAAAAATAAAAACATTTTTTCGACCCAAAAATTTGGTCGCCGGAATTCGGCCACCGGTCGTCGGAAATTAGTCGTCGGTCACCGGAATATGCTATTTTTTATCGGAATATGCTCACTGTCGCCGGAATATGCTCACCGTGGTCGAAATATGCTTACCGGTGTCGGAATCTATTCATCGGGGCCAGAATATGGCTATCGGCGCCGGAATCTGCTCACTGACGATCATTAGAATTTGGTCAACGGTCAACGACCACCAGATGTTATGTCTGCATTGTGAGATTTATGGTTTGGTTTCTCATATTTTTGTAGTTTGCTTTATCGTGTTTGTGGTTTGCATTGAGAAGTTTCTGGTTTGCTTTCAAAAATTTTGTGTTTTGCATTGAGGGGTTTGTGGTTTGTTTTAGGAGATTTGTGGTATGCATTAGGAGGTTTCAGGTTTGTTTTTGTGGTTTACTTTAACTTATTTGTGGTTTGCATTATGAGGTTTCTGGTGTGTTTTTGAAAATTCTGTGGCTTGCTTTCTGAATTTCTGGTTTGTTTTTGAAGATTCTGTGGTTTACTTTGTGAGGTTTCTGGTTTGTTTTAATACATTTTTTGTCTGTATTAAGATGTTTCTGATTTATTTTTGTGGTTTGCTTTACGGTGTTTATGGTTTGCGTTATGAGTTTTCTGGTGTGCTTTCAAAGTATTTGTGGTTTGGTTTATGGTGTTTCTGGTTTGTTTTAGGGAATTTGTGAAATGCATTGGGAGGTTTCTGGTATGCTTTTTTGTGGTTTGTTTTACCGTGTTTGTGGTTTGTATTATGAAGTTTCTGGTGTGCTTTAGAAATATTTGTGGTTTGTTTTGTGGTGTTTCTGATCCCTTCAATTATAGGTAAAAACAAATACTACTAAAATCTTCCTCCACTTTTTCCTGTTATCCTTCCTTTCCTGTCCCTCGTATAAACACCCCTCCACCTCCTTCCTTTTTCCCTCAGCTTGGCGTTTCCTTCTATATGTCATGAACCAGTTGATCCCAATAACTCGAGTTGTTGGGAGAGGTTCAATCGTGGATCATATACCAGAACACTAACACGCCCCCTCAAACGAAAGCCACTCACAAGGGCTTGAAGTTTGCACAGGTCTGAAGACAAGAATACCATGTGCTTAACAAATGGGGGTCACTGGGAATCGAACACAAGACCTCTCGGTCACAGAAGGCTCTGATACCATGTCATGAACCAGTTGATCCCAATAACTCGAGTTGTTGGGAGAGGTTCAATCGTGGATCATATACCACAACACTAACACCATAGAGAACAACAAGCTGAGCAATCAGTAACACACAAAAAAATTACAGTTTTCGATCTCTACCCTTGCAATTAGCATTTCTTCCGCTAAATTATCACAGATATGCAGGCTCTATCACCACCTCCGTCATCGTCGCTCAACTCCTCGATAGTCGGGACCAGCCGCCGTCTCCGTCCCCCCACCGGCCCAGTCGTCGCTATAACCTAATTCGATTAATTTTGTTTCATTCCAAGTCCAATCATCAAATTCTCGTTCTAATGCCGAATCTTGCCGCAGCGGGTATGATTCTGCGTTGTCCGATTGCAAAGCGGGGACTGTAATTTCCACGAACTCGGCTGCGGAAACCAATCGACGGAGAGTGGCAGCCGTAACGTGATTGGCGATAGTAGTAGTCTGGGGTGAGAGGAGATGAGTCCCCACTCGACGGCGGCAACGAAGGTGGCGGAGAGACGGTTTTGATCGGCGGCGATAGGACCGCCCTAATCTTGGCCTCTTCGTCAGGCTCAAATCCCAGAGGCCAGTTCCTCGGGAACTGCATTTCCTTTTGTCGTAGGGGAGTTCGAACAGAGCGAGCGATTCCGACTCGGCGGACTGGGCGAGTTGGGCGGCGATCCCGTGACCGACGAGTTGGAAGAATCCGTGTTCGGAGGCGGCGGAGAGGATTAGTTCGGTGGCTTTGAAGTCGGAGAGGGTGATGAGATCTGACAGCGATGAGTGAATTTAATTAACTTTATTTTATTACTTTTTATCTATTTTACCCTTTTACCCTTACTGAATTTTGTTGTTATAATAACAACAGTTAGTTATTCTATCCTCTCTATCTCTTAGCATATTATTGATGGGCGTCGACACTGTTTGTTCCGTCGCCAAAGAAACATGCCTGGCCGGAGAAAAGTCTGCCATGCCAAAGCAATTATTTCCACCCCATTTAATAGCTTATTATCAACAAGAAACGAATAATCCAAATTAAATATCATGAGATTGAAGGAAAGAGTCAAAGAGACATATATCTACATAGGGATTTACTAGAATAAGTTACTTTTAATTTTTTAATCTGTTATAGAAAATTTCACAGGTCGCATTACGTAAAATCTAATAGACATTATGTAATGATTACATGATATATATTTACGTTTATACAACCGTTGTAAAGGTCAGCGGCGGATCTAGGGGGCCGTCCCGGGTCACGGCCCAGCCCTCCATTGGATACAGAGCTAGTATAACCCTTGTAAATGTTCGACTTTAGGTATTCGTTTTAGTGCTCGTCGAGTTACGGCCAAGTCAAGCGCGTCTCTTTCAAATGTGGCCCAGTGCTCTACCCTATCCTGGATCCGCCGCTGGTAAAGGTCATTACGGAAATCTTACAAAATGGACAGTTCGTTTACATTATAAATATTAACCTCCCATTATATAAAGTGTTTAGTCGTTACGAAAGTCTTACATAACGCTTTTGATTTAACTATTACCTAAAATGTAACTATCATTTCGTATCATTTACTTAATGGATATATATTTTATGTAAAAGTTGTAAAGTGTCATTACGGGATCTGTATGTAAATTGTAATGTATGGTCCTTTTACGTAATAAAAATTAACCTTGTCTTACTGTTATGTAAAGTAAAGTGTTAAGTTATTACAGAAGTCTTACGTAACGCTTCTGATTTAACTGTTGCGTAAGAAAGAACTTTCATTTCGTAACCTAAGGTTACGCAGTAGATGTGCATGTAACACTACAGTTGTAAAAGGTCAATAAGTAATAAGTGATGACCGGCAGCATCGATTACCGATGTTTTGGTAACCAATTGTCTAAATTAATTTTAATATATTTTAACGATTTAAATTCATACAAATTATTTAAATTGAAATTATACTCAAATTACTACGAAAGTTCGCTATCTAGATGAAACTCTGCACCACAAAACGACAACCAATCACAATCATGAGAACCACACAAAAAGAGAGCGAGAGAGCGAGAGAGATTAATGCCTTCCTGCCGGCCGGCGAGCTAGTAAATCAAAGAGCTTAGTGTTAGAGCAATTACCTGGCGGTTTCCGGCATCAACATCCGCCAATAATACGTGAGCGCCGCGGGAACAGCACCCAGCATAAGAATCACCCTCCACGCCACGTCAGCCCCGGCCGGCGTGTGCTGATCGGATAACCCTCCTCCGGCGCGGCTGCCCACGGCAAAAATCTTGCAAACCACGACGGTGACCATGGAGCTGGCCAGAATCCCGAACCCCTGCATCGAAAACACCCCGGCGATGAAGGCCCCCCGGGTGTTCCTGTTGGCGAACTCGGACATGATGGTGGCGGAGAGCGGGTAGTCGCCGCCGATGCCGACTCCGAGGGCGAAGCGGAAGACGGCGAGGCTTCCGAGGACGCAGCCGCGGGTGGTGCAGGCGGAGAAGCCGCAGGCGAGGGAGCCGGCGACCATGATGAGGAGGGAGAGGCCGTAGACGCCGCGGCGGCCCATGCGGTCGCCGAGGCAGCCGAAGACGAGCTGGCCGGCGGCGGCGCCGAGGAGGGAGGCGGCGATCATGGCGAGGGAGATGTTGGTTGGGAGGTGGTGCTGGGAGGAATGGTGGGGATGCGGGTAGTAGATCCGGCCCAGCATGTTGGTGATTGGCGGGATGCAGAATAGGCTGTAGGCGTCGCTGAAGAGGCCCATGCCGGCGACGATTGTGGCCTTGAAGTGGTAGTACTGCGTCCGGGCCGTGTCCAGCGCCGACAGCACTTTTAGCGCCATTTTTGCTTTTGTTTTTGTTTTGGGGGAATTGGAAATTGTGTTGTTGGGGAAAGATGGAATTCGAAACCCAATGAGTCCTCTCATATATATATACTGGCAGTTCGATAGTTAAGGTTGAAGTCAAAACTTACTACACTTATATATTGGAAATAGGTTTGATGCTACAACACCTAATTCACGTATTGTAGAGTTTATTTACGTTATTTGGTACTTGTTAATGTAATTTGGTGGTTATTGATGTAAGAGTTGTGGTCATTCAAGGAAATGAACCTCAAACTTTTTTATTTTTCTTCTTTATAATTTGTATTGGTCTTATTTTATGGAGTAAAACTTGGACGAGTAATACCGTTTGTGTGACAGGTATTAAATTATTTGTTAGTATGGTGCTAACATATGCTCTACCCAATATGAATATTTCGTTATGATGGCTTCTTAGTCCAAGGGGTTACCGCAATTAATTCTGATTTCTAACAGAGGGGCATGCTTGTCATTGTGAAAATTATTGTGGGGCACACGCATGTGGCGCTGCTCATTAATTTCACGTTTCGCGCCTCATCACAAGTATCATGAAGTAGACGACAAAAGACATACCATAAACACACAAACCACACAACAAATAACATAAAGCATATACAATAAACCTTATAAAGCAGGTTGGAAACTCACCACACCAAAAAATTCATAAAGTATGCGAGAAACCTCATAAAGCATATTACAAGTCATGTGAAGCAAACACAAACCTCATAAAGTAGACCACGGGATCCCTCATACATACCAAAACCTCGTCACAACACAAAATTTATAAAACATAATACCAAAACCCGCATGAAGCATACCACAAGTTCCCTGAATATATGAGAAACCTAATAAAGCATACCTCAAATTCTCTAAACAATACTAGAAATCTCATAAAGCCGACCATAAACCTCATAAAGGTTACGACGAGTTCACTAAAGCAAACCAGATTTCTCATAAATAAAATAAGACTAAAAGTTCCCTGAAGCAGACCAGAAATACAAACAACCATACTAGAACTCTGATAAAGCAGACAAGAAAGACGAGAAACCACACCATAAACCTCATGAACCAACCCAGAAACACTATAAAGGAGAACCAGTAATAAAATATATTATAATGATAAAAATAATGTTTATAATAATAAAATATTTTTTTTATGGACAATTAATTTTTTTTATTAATGCTCATTGTAGAGAGGTGAACCAAGAACCTCACTACACAAATGTGCAGAAAAATACTCTATACACTAATCTTGTGCTACCAAGAACACTCACTGTAATACTAATTCTACCAATAATTTATTCTAATCGATGCTCATAGCTTGGTTTCCTGCCATCGCCAACTCCAAAACACTTTGCAGACAATTTAGTATCCCCCTAGGGTCTAGACCTGCTTGTCCATGAAGTCTGCCACACCTTTCTCGCCAAATCATGCTCACTGTTAGGTTCCATATCAACCTCCCAAGTTTAGGTTTTGGTTTCTTGCCTACAAACACTTTTTCTGCCCACTTCAACTGATCTTCAAAGCTCATCTGAGCATTACAACTAACCTTAATCAATCTCATTCTACCAGTCAATATTGCAGCAGAAAAGACACACAGAACAAGCAAGTGTGCTCTTGTTTCCCCAGCCATTCCACACAACAAACAATTAGCACAAGTGATTTTTCCCAATTCAAGAGTTTATCTCTAGTGATTATTTTGTCATTGATAACCATCCAGCTCAGAAAACTATGCCTCATCAGCATATAAGACCCCCAGTTCAGTTGGTACCAACTCACTGCAGGTTTCTTGCTTCTGATATCCTCCCAAACTCTCTTAACAGAATATCGTACCATTTTCTGCTAATTCCAGAGCACCTGATTCCCCCAGCAAGTTATGAAAGCCTCCACTTTATCCCTAGTCTTGAGCAACTTCCTCCAAAACCATGAACATTCACTACTTTGATGTAACTTCTCATAGAGTTTTATGCTTCAGTCTATACATTCCTATCCAAGCTACCCACCAGGATCCACCCTTTGCTAGGATGTCCCATATGTGTCTTGTCGAACAAGCTAAATTCCAGGTACACAAACATTTAATTCCCAAACCCCCTTCTTTTCTAGGCATAGTGATCTTATGCCAATCAACCACAACCCTCTTCCTTGCTGAATTTTCATCTATACCCACAAAAAATTACTACACTTTGTCTCAATCTCTTTGATAACAGATATTGGAAGAATGACAACATTCATTCAATACTGCATCATACTACTAATCACAGAGTTAATCAGTTGTACCTTATCAGCATAGCTCAGCATCCGAGGTTTCCAGCCAGTGATCCTTTTTGTAACCCTATCTACCAAAGCTTTACAATCATGTCCATTTAATTTTCCAGCTATTAAGGGGACTCCCAAATATGTAACAGGAAAGGACGCTTTCTGAAACCCAACAATATCAGCTAATTCCTCATGTTTACTTTCTAGCATACCAACACAAAACAGCTGACTCTTTTCAGGATTGAATCAGAGTCCAGACAACGTATAAATTGATTTAATACACTACACACACCCCTAATTGCAGCTTCTATCCCATTCAAAAAAATTAATAGATCATCCGCAAATGCCTAATGAGTAATCCCTAGGTTCTTGCAATGTGGATGATATGGTAATGTTCCAGAATTAGCAGGTCTCTTCAATAGACAACTCAATATTTCCATAGCCAAAGTAAATAGAAAATGAGATAGAGGATCACCTTGGCGTAGACCTTGCTTTGCTGGGAAATATCCACACGTACCTCCATTTATTGCCACACTGAGCATTGGAGTTGTAATACACGAAGCAATCCATCCCACAAACTTCTCCGGCGGCCCCATAGCTCTCATAATGTTTAGTAAAAAATTCCAGTCCACCGAGTCTAACGTTTTCATCAAGTCAATCTTCATAGTACACCTGGTGGATATATTCTTCTTACTATATCCATTGACTAACTCTGCTGCCATTAGAATGTTGTCACTTATACTTCTTCCTTGCACAAATGCAGATTGATTCTTGCTTATCAAACAGGTGAGAGCTCTAGATGATCGGTGTGATAGTATCTTTGTAATGCACTTATGTACTTTACAATAGGATATTGGACTATATAGCCTCATATGATCAGCATGTTCTACTTTAGGTATAAGAGCCAACACTATGGAATTCACTTCTCTATGCATAATGCCATTGATGAAGAAACCACTGATTGCATGACTCACCTCTGCTCCCACCACATCCCAAACAACCCTATACATATCCACAGGGAAATCGTCAGACCCTAGGGACTTATTAAGACTCATACTAAACATAGCCCCCTTGATTTCTTCTTTTGAAACTGGTTTACATATATAAATCCTCTGCCTCGGAATTAGGAAGGTGATGAAAGAGTAGTTCTCTTAGTGCATCTACTGTTACCTCTTTGACCTCTTCATTTTTCTTTCCCAACAAAGTCTTGTAAAACTCAACTGATATCCCCCAATTTTCTCAATATCTATGACCTCAGTCCCATCATCCTTCCGAAGCATAGAAATGGTATTTCTATGTTGTCGTACTTTCAAGGATTGATGAAAATAACTTGTATTAAGATCACGTTCCAAAAATGCCTACACTCTTGCTTTCTGCTTGTAAAACGCCTCCTCTACTCGCTGCATCTCAGAACAGGTTTTTATATAAAATACTTTTTTTTACCAAAGGGGAAAGTGGAGAGGCGAGAGATGAGATGAGATGCAATGGTGGAAAAAAACTGAGGATGGAAGTGGTGGGTAACTACTATGCATAGTAGTATTTATCATAATAGCCTAATAATTATATTAGCTTGATTCTAAGTGCTAACACTAAGAGATGTTAGCATCCTATCCGGTCTAGGGAATTTGTATGAAAAATTGTCAGTTTGTTTTTTGGATAAAACAAATTAAAAAATACTGTTTATTTTACTATCCTTTTGTACTTCGCGTATTAAATTATCTGAAACTAAAAGTAAGTAGCTTTAAAATTTTGTATATTATGACGAGGTTTTAAAGACATTAGTTGGTTGAACTGAACGTGTTTGCTGAATTGGAGTTGTTGTTATTTACCTGAACAACATAGGATTCGAATGATTTCTTGATTTCCATGAACATGAAGGACGGAAGGAATGGTTGTTGGAGGGCTACGGCTAGTTGGATGGATAGGGCCAATTGGATTTGGCTCTGGGAGGCTGACATTCCACCCAAGCTGAATGTGTTCGTGTGGCAAATTTTTCATCGTATCCTCCCTACCACTGAGGGCCTCATTGAGAAAAGTGTTCCTGTCCTTCCGCGTTGTCTGGTGTGTTGGGAAGCATCGAAAACTATGGAACATTTATTCCTGGACTGTCTAGTGGCTCGGGCTTTATGGGACTATTCAGGTCTAGAACATCTTGGACAAGGCTTTCCTCGCCATACTTTCCCCCTGTTTCTCAAACGGTTGTTTGCCTTAATCCACCACCCTCCTATGATCATGGCTGTGGTGGGTGTGCTTTGGCGAATTTGTAAGTTGCGTAATTGGGTTGTCTTTGAAGTCAAGCAGTTTGGATTCCCTGCCTTGTTGCGCCAATTTCATCAACAGTGTGAGGAATGGGAACGGGTTCCAGCAGATAGGGTAGATCCGGCTCTGCATCCCATTCTCCATCCTCCGGGCTTGGCCAGGGGCTCCTCGATGGTGTGTATGTGGGATGGGGCTACGAGAGCTGGGTCCCACTCTGCTGGCGGAATGGTGCTTCTTGATCCTCATAGGGAGGTCCTCCGAGCTCAGGGAGTTCAGTTTGGGTCCATTGATGATCCTTTGGTGGTGGAAGCGCTTGTCCTCCGAGAAGCTATCTTGTGGTGTGTAGCCAATGGATTCCAGGATGTGAGGTTTGAAGGAGATGCCAAGGTCATCATCGATAAAATCAATCAAGGTGAGACTAGAGATAGTAGGATTGGGATGTTCTTGGAGGAGATCCGACAATGTAT